TATCTATCTATCTATCTATCTATCTATCTATCTATCTATCTATCTATTTTTTGTTTTTCTGAGACAGGGTTTCTCTGTGTAACAGCTCTGACTATCCTTGAATTCACTCTGTAGACCAGCCTGGCTTTGAACTCACAGAGATCTTCCTGTCTCTGCTGCCTTCGTGCTGGGATTAAAGGCATGCATCACCACCTCTTGGCCCCTGGTGGCTTTATAAGATGAGATACTATAACACATCCATGCCCTTTGTCTCTTGCCTTGTGATGCCCTGTATCACCTCAGGAGTCTGCCATTAAGAAGGCCAACATGGGATATGGCCCCTCAGCTTTGGACAACCCAGACTGTGAGTCAAAATTAATTTACCTGGTCTGAGATGTTGCGTTATTAGCAACAGAAATCTAACTATAAACGAGGTTATTTCCCCATATGACGGGTGAGAAAAGCCAGGCTCAGGGAGTAGAGTCATTTCCTCTCATATCATGGGAGTCCAACTCACCCCCGATCCTTAGGTCTCTGCAGCGCCGTCTCTCACCACTGTGGGCGCACTCGTGCAACTCTCAGCACGGACAACCCCAGCTTCGATTCCCTGAAGATAACAAGTGAGCCCTGAGCCTCACCACCCTCGCCGGCTTCTCACCACGGCTGGACTCTATGACGAATATTTCATGAGGAGACAGGGACAATGCCGCTCCAGTTACAGAATCCCTGGCTCTCAATTTTGTGCGATCCTCAGCCTAGAACTGGGTAAAGAAGGTTGCGTGACATCAAGACGGTGAGGGTGAAGAATTCTCACTGGAGGGCAGAGGCAGCTGTGGTCCCAGGGAGAAGAACGGGCGGGTAAAGGGGCCGGGGGAGCGGTTAGAAGGCGGAGTTAAGCAATCGATCTTTCTTCGCTCTCCTCCTCCCGACTCCTCCTTTCTTGTCTCGTGTTTTTTCTTCTTCTCTCTTCTCTCCTCGCCTTCCTCCCCTCCTCGCCTCCTCTCCTATTACTGGAGAAGTACTTAACCACTGAACTACATCTCTAACATTATTTGTATCTTTTTATTTGGGGGCAGGATTTTAGTAAGCTGCCCAGGCAGGCCTTGAACTTGTGCGTCTCTTACCTCAGGCACCAGAGTGACCGGGATTACAGGCGTGAGTCACAGCAGGTAGAGCAGAAGTAAGATTCTAATGGAAATGCCAGAGCACATTATTTCAGGGGCAATTTGAGAGGCTCGCCATTGTCTGGCTTTGGATAAGTCATTGAAATACCCCGAGGTTCAGTTATCTCCTTATACAAAGGGATTGTTAAATACTTTCCTTGATTTACAAGGATATGGGGGGGGGGAATCTGATGTAAAGTGTAAGAAGCCAGCCAAATTGTCTACCCTGTTTGAAACAGGAAACTGGAGAATTCAAGGCAAGGTAGCACACAGTGCAAACTGTAACACCAGGCTAATTTTTATTGTTATAGCTCCTTTGATACAGAGTTACAGGTTTACATTTCAGCAAGCAACCCTGATTAGCAGGCCAGCATGTTCAAGCTTAAAATGCACAACCATGTTACTTTTTTCAGAAAGACACCTGAGGCATGGGAACATCACTTGACCTAACTATTCTCTAGAAGTTGAGTGTCACTGGCCATGACATAAATACAACAGATGGCAATTAATAATTCTGGTGTTGATCCACCAGACGGGACCACAGACTCTGAGAACTGATTGTTTCTGGCTGTAATTATCTCACACACCACTCCATTTCTGTAGTGCAATGTCTGCTCTATGTGCTATGTTTGCGAGTTGGGCAAGGGGCTGGGGATTGAAACACACACACACACACACACACACACGTTCACACACATTCACACGCATGCACACACATGCACACATTCACACACATATGCACATTCACATACACACACACACGCACACATGCACACATATTTAAAGAAATATGATTGAGAACATCCTGGGCCATGCAGAGGCGTAGGAAAAAGAAGGCTCACGGAAGAAGTAGAGGATGGGGTGAGTAAGCTAGTTTCTGGGGTGGTGAAGAGGAGGGGTAGGAAGTGTGGGAAGAAATTCTAGCAGAGGCATTTTGCATAAGGCATTTCTTTCTTTCCTTCAAAATATATTTTTCATATTCACTCATTTACTCTGTGTGTATGTGTGTGTATGTGTGTATGTGTGTGTGTGTGTGTGTGTGAGAGAGAGAGAGAGAGAAAGGGAAGGAGGGAGGAGAGAGAGAGGGAGGGCTGCTACACACAGGCACACGCGTGAAGGTCAAAGGACAACCTGTGGGAATTGGTTTTCCCACTGTGTGGATTCTGGGGATCAAACTCCTTGACGATAGAGAAAGGGGGCACTGAGAAAGAGCCTGATCCTCAGTTCTTCGCTCTCACAGGACTTACGGCTTCCACAAAGACCCTCCTCTTGCTTCTGCTGCTGACTCAGATGTTCTTCGACCCCAAACCGTGTGCTGACATGGTCATGCCTCCTTGGTATGCAGGATCTGTGACAGTTTCAACTAAGGCTATGGTCTGATGATGTGGAGCAGAAGGGTCTGTGGGGTCTACAAGCCCACCAACACCTTCAAATGCAAGAGGACAAACGACAGGCAACACCACACCTCCCAGACGTGGGACTCCTTCAATGAACTAAAGAACTCAAGCTAATCAACACATGGGTCTGTCAGGAGGGTCATCTCTCTGTCACCATAGGTCCAAACGTCCTCCTGGAGAGGTTGGCATATTATCAGGGAGCTGCGAGTAGTGTGTTCACAGGGAGAGCTGGTGTCCTGGGCTACCAGGCTCTACAGGAGGCTGTCGGGGAACCTCAATGTTGATGTCCACAGAGGCTGGACATCACTGGGCAGTCCACAGGCCTCAGGCTCAACCTGCTTGTTGTTACAGGACATTTGTCCTCTGTGTGCACTGTGAAGATGCATCTTTGCCAATAGCTAGGCAGAAGAGGTTAGGTGGGACTTCCAGGGACACAGAGGACTCTGGGAAGAAGAGAGGAAGAGTCACCAGCCAGACTCGGAGGAAGCAGCATGGGCAGTATGGAGAGGTGAGCAGTGAGCCATGTGACAGACGTAGGTTAAAGACTATGGGTTAATTTAAGATGTAAGAGATAGTTTGTCCGATAGTTTGTCTTTCTCTTCTCTGAAAGACAGGCAAGTCTAAAGAACATCTCCTTAGTGTCTCAGTGGAGCAGACATGAAGGAGAGGAGAGGAGTGAGGTGGGGTGCAGAGAACCTTGTCTCTGCTTCTGGGCAACGTCTCTGGAGGTCACATCAGGGCTGCATTAATTAGACAGCATCAGGTTTCATTTCAGGAATTCTTCATCGTTTGGGACTTCTGTTCTCACGGATTGTCTTCCCAGGCTCAAATGGGGAACATGGAACAGATGTTTGACCATTTTATAAATATAAAAGAATTATTTATATAAAATATAATTTATATTATAAATTATATATGTGTGTGCTTGCATATATTAAATTAAGGAAGTGTATTCAGCAATAAATGTAACATTTTATGTGATCACAAAACTACATGGAAATTAAGAATGTACAATGAAAAGTATGTCACACATACACACACACACACACTCATGGTGCGGGAGAATTGTCTGTATTCTGTCAATCATGTTTTAAATAAACGCTGATTGGCCAGGCAGAAGGTGTAGGTGGGGAAACCAGACAGGAAGTGGAAATGATACAAGGAGAGCAGGAGAAGGCTTGTTTGAAGCTGGGGAGGAGGAAGTTGATTCCTCCCACTTCTACCCAGATCACCGAAGCAGCAGGATGTGAGCTGCCCCACTGAAAAAGGTACTGAGCCACATGGCTAACATAGATCAGAAAAATGGGTTAATCGTCCACGGAGAGGACCACGCACTGAAAGATGGTACCACATCTTCCCTGGTGAGAATCTGAGGACAAAGACTCTCTGCCAGCCACGAGTGTCACCCCAAAGGTCAAGAGTCGTGGGATGAAGTTTGCTGAAGAGCAGCTGCTAAAACATGGATGGACTCAAGGCAAGGGCCTGGGCCGAAATGAGAATGGCATCACCCAGGCCCTCAAGGTGACGCTGAAGCAAGACACCCATGGGGTGGGACATGACCCTGCCAAGGAGTTTACAAACCACTGGTGGAGTGATCTCTTCAACAAGACTGCAGCCAGCTTGGTAGTGGACACAGGGAAGGACGGAGTGCAGATAAGGCGCCTTTCCATGGAGACTACCCAGCATAATCACCCCAAGCCCAATTTGCTGTACCAGAAGTTTGTGAAGGTACCAGAATGAGAGGTGCAGTTCTTTACTGGGTCCCGATCCTTATTTTACAGATGTGACCAAAAGGGTGAAAAACCAAATGCTGAAGAACCCACAGATGGCTTATAAAGGCAAGAAGAATAGAAAAAAAAAATGGGTTAATCAAGATGTGAGAGTTAGCTAGTAAGGAGCCTGACCAAACGGGCCAATCAGCATTATAACTTATAGAGTCCTCTGTGTGGGTGATTTTCTCTGGGACTAAACAATTGTGGGGACCTGGTGGGAGGACAGAAAAACCCACAAACAAGCAGGCCCGACCTCTTCATGTTAGCCAGCCCTCTCATGTTACACACTCATATTTATTCACAGTCCCTAGCTTAAAATTTCCTTTCCAATGCAGGCCATAGAAACTACAGTTTCTCTTTTCTAAACCCCGTTTTCTCAGACCTTGAATCCCTTGCATTTTCTCTCTTTGAGCTAGTCATAAAAAAAAGTTACTATCCCATTGTGGTACGGCGTGCGTTTAATACCAGTTCTTGTGTGGCAGAGGGCAGGCAGATCTCTGAATTCTAGGGTATCTGGTCTACAGAGTTAGAAATACAGGATAACATAGAGAAACCCTTTGTCAAACACACACACACACACACACACACACACACGCACACACACATGCACACAAAAGGAAGAAGAGACAAGAAAGAAAAAAAGAAAAATTTCTGACTAACCTGTGTAGCAGGAGCTGTTAGGACACTTCACCTCAGGAGAAATCTGGCTGCACGCCCAGGAGGAAGGACTGCCATACAGAAAAGTCAAGAATGTGGACAGACAGGTTTCTGTAGATTTCTGTGGGTTTTAACATCAGATAGTGATCTTTTTGTCTAATCATATTCCTGTGTTGTCGTCTATGCTTTGGTCATGGCCATGCTGTGAAGTCTCCATAAGAAAGCGAACAGGAATGCTGAACATGTGGTAGTTCCTGAGGTGAGGCCTGCTGGAGAGGGCATGCGAGGCCGTGCGTGGGCCGGATCCCAAACCTCACCCTAGACAGCTCTCCATCTTTGTCTTTGTGAGCCACCCGAGATTCATTGTCTGCCTAAGGATGGCTTTACGTCACTTCCAGTTTATGGACAGAAGCGTGGGCAAAGTAAACTGGGCTCACAACCATGTGAGAAGTCGGTAGAGGGCGTGCTGCCGCTGTGGGCAGGCAATGACAGCTGCTGCTGGCCGTGGATCCGATCGACTGCGTGCTAGTGGAGAGAAAGCCCCATAGTGTGGCTGCTGCAGAACTGATGTTCACAGATGATATCCTCTGGAGCTTGTTTTCAGGGTCCAGTTTCCTTTCCTAAAAGCAGTAGGTATTCAGGGTCTTGCAGCCCCCTCATAGGTGTCTACAAACGTGTAAGTATATGCACTTGTAAAGGCCTGTAGGAGTACACACTGTGCACGTGTGTGTTCCATTGTATGAGTGTTGGGAGCCAGAGGCTGGCAGTGCCAGTGTGTATTTGTGTCAACGGCCTAAGGAAATATGGCGGTTATTATTTCAGAGGACGGTACTTCCTTCTTATCCACAGCTTCACGTTTTGTGGTTTCAGTTACGTGTGGAAACCTGTGTTTTGAAAACGGTTAATGGAAATAATTTGTCAGAGCTTTAAATTTTGCCCTGCTTTGAGCGGTGTGATGGAACTATGCCTCTCAGTTTTTCCCGTTCCCTAGGACTGAGCCGCCCCTTTGTTCAGCTGCCACACTGTCTGCTCTGTTAGCCTTTCCACTTACCCTGGGGAACTCACCTGGTGGAAGATGTTTGGGTTGAGTCCCCCCCACAGCTCCCCCTCCTGAACCGCTCTCCTCCCCCCACCACTTCCATCCCTCCCTCCCTCTTCCCCACTACTCCCCTTCCCCACCCTTCCCCCACCAAACCCTGCCCAGTCTCAGAAAGGTGGCAAAACAGCAACTTCTCCCCCAAGATGCCTAATCAGGCCTGCAGGGTATTTAAATGGCCTCTTAAGGAAAGGTCACATGGTTTCTGGTTCCTTCTCCTATCTCCTCTCTGAGGGCCTGGAGACCATTGGGAACTTTTGGACGTTCAATTCTTAATTAGGCTTGGTTTGATTGGTTGCATTGGCAGAGAGACTTAATATCGGGATACAGAAATCTTTCAGAAAAACAGTTCCCACAAATTGTCTTCTGACCTCCACGAATGAGCTGTGATGTGTGTGTGCATGGAGGTCACACACAGTCATACAAACATGTTAAAAACAATCCCCAAATCTCCCAGGCTTGAGAATAGTCATACTGGCTAACTGGTTATGTCAAAGAGAAGCCAAACTGTGCCCCCTTTTAAGTAAGAAGATGAAAATTCTCAACTTAAGTCATCATTATATAACAAAGTTCCTATGGGTTATGTCACGAAGAGATCTATTTGTAAACTTGCTAAGGAGATAAAAGAAAACTGAAGACATAGCCCTGTGGGAGGCAGCTTGCTTAGAATGAACAAGGCCCTGGTTCAAATGCGTGTACATACACACATACACACACACACACACACGTACACACATGTACACACACGTACACACATACACACACGTATGCACACACACGTACACACATACACACCCACATAGACACACTTACACACACGTACACACATATACACATACACATACACACATACACACATGTATACACACACGAACACACACATACACACCCACATACACACACTTACACACACGTACACATACATACACACATGTACACACACATACACACGTACACACACGCGCACACACACAGTACACACATGTACACACATATACACACGCACATACACACACATACACACACACACACAGAGCCTAACCTCAATATGCAGAGCCTATAACTGATACCAGCTTAGGTTCTGATGAGGCCCTGATACTGCAGAGAGCTGCACCTTCTTGCTATACCCACCCTTGGTAGAAAGAGCAAGATCCACTTTCATGACTAATTACTTCCCAAAGTCCCTGGTTCGGAGGTTTCTGACACCATTACATTGACGGTCAGGGACATTGGAGTTTGCCCTGAACTATGTGTTAGTCCAGAGAAGTTTGAAAGCTGAGCAAACTTTCCTGCCCTCGAGAAGAGCTATGAAATGACGTTCGTTGCTACACGGCCTCTCCAGCTCTGGACCAGTCCACTAACCCTGGTGGTAAAGAGCTTTTACTCCAAAAATCACTGTGTGTGTGTATGTGTGTGTGTATATGTGTGTATGTGTGTATGTGTGTGTATATGTGTATGTTTGTGTATGTGTGTGTATGTGTTGCGTGTGTATATGTGTATGTGTGTGTGTATGTGTATGTGTGTGTGTATATGTGTATATGTGTGTATGTGTGTGTGTGTGTGTATATATGTGTGTATATATACGCACATAACAGACACAGAAACAGCAAGGAAGCAGGAAAAGGTAAGAAGCCTAAGGTGACAGTAGATGAGAAACAGGTTAACTTAAGTTAAGAGAGCTGGTCAGAAACGTGCCTAAGCTGGGCTGAGCATTCAAAACTAATAAGTCTGTGTCATGATTTGGGAGCTGGTTGGTGGCCCAAAAGAAAAAGCGTGCTAAACCTAAGGATAAGTCAAGATTCTACAACCAGAAAAATCAAAGATTTGAACTAAACCCCAAATCTTTTTACCCCTATAATCCTATTCATAAAACTGAGATCCTATCATGGGCTCCAGTGTCACTATTACATGTGAAACGGTCCTCTGTGCAGCCTTTGTCCAAGGGAATCACTTGCCTGACCATGCTACCATCAGGGCTTACAGTCTGGTCTGTGTGGGGACTCTGTAAGACGTCTGTGTACCAGGACGAGAGAAAGGAAGACAGGGCCCCACCCCTCCTCCCCCAGGAATGTACAGATGGTTCCTTCCAACGTGGCCTTCTCTACCTGTGAACCCCAGTGTTCTCTCCAACTGCAGTGGATGCTGAGTGTCGGTGGAGTTAGTGGGGCAGAGCGAGCGCCCTTGCCTCTCTCCACCGTGTGACCAGGGACATCTTAGGAAGACAGGGATGGTCACATGGGAGCTTCTTCAGAAGTGCATCTGTGTCCTCGAGGGAGAGCCGAGTGGTGGATAAGTCCCCCACGGCTCCCCCAGGGAACAGACTCTGGCATGGAGACCAAACAGTCACGGTAGCAGAGAGATGTCTGAGGACAATTATTCTTTACCAGGCTGGTGAGATACTGAACTTCAAGCCTGATGACCTGACATCAGTCCTGCACAAACTGGCTGGAAGGATCTATCAGTGTCTTTATGGAAAACTGGAAGTGACCTAGCTGAGAATGCTGTCTAGAAAATGAAGAAACTTGAGAAAACTAGGAGAAACAGGCTGAGGGTGAGTGAGACCCTGTCTCAATACACCATCATCTCCCCCACAGCCAACCTCACTTTCACACCCACCACCGCCACCACCACCA